TAATTCATTTGGGTAAGCAAGCATCTCATATTGATTAAACTTTATTTTAAACCTATTGCTACACTCGGATTAGAACTAACCTTAGATTTAATTCATCCTTGTAGGTGCAAGATGTATACATTTTTGGGTGAATACTCTATAACAATTTTCGCTTTTTTTTTTTAAGAAATATTGGATTTGTATCTTTCACAGTTAAATAACCATCACTGGTCTGCACAGGGACAGTCATAGAAGTCTGCAAAGACAGAAGTTGTCAGACTGGCTACTGAGAGTGTGAGAGCGGTTATGCGTTTGATGGACTGGATGTCAGCATTGCAGACAGTAACAGAATGAATACGCTCGTGGTCAGACACGACAGCAGGTACATTTGACTTTCTGCTCACTGTGCGGTTCAGATCTGAGAAAAGCTGAAAGCTAAATCAGATTCCCAGGAAACCTGTCTGCTCACACCTCCGCCTTTCTAAATTGGTTGAGTATGTTACACAATGAAGAGTGGATTGTGTGCAGGAAAAGACTCATCATGCCTGTGAGTAAACCTTCAGGCATATACAGTATGATATACTGTATGTCCCTCTGTCCTGTGAAGGCTAATCAGACATTTGCTCCAGAAACACCAACGGACAAGATGGTCCACGATTTACAGCAGCAGAGAGGACAGGTGCTCCGTAAGCTCCTCGTGTTGTCTCTGACGTGCTAAACAGAAGCATGCTAATGCTACTGGAGAAACAACATGAAACATATGTGACCACTTCCACGCAGACCAGTTTAAGACCAGTGCAACTTTACTGAGGACCTGTTCATCCTGCACAACACAAACTGGTTATTCTTCTCCTCTGTCCCCATCTCTATACTGTAAGACCTGCAATAAACTAATAGGTAGAAGACAACATGTACTCCAAAACAAAAAGTATTCTGAACTTCAACAAGAGTGAACATCCTAAAATGATCTTCAAAGAAGATCAAAGGCTGCAGGAGCAGTATCTTTTAAATCACTTCTTAAAATGTAAAAAGGCCAAAGTTTGATGTTTTATGCATTTATCTTTCACCTTACTGGCTGCAATCATTTTGTAATCATCTCCATCTTAAATCAATGAATAGATTGTAGCAGTGATAGTATGGATGGGTGGCATTCTAGTATATATACTAGTTATATATATATACTAGTTATATACAAGTAACTACTTGTATATAACAGCCTTATCTTACATAACCTGTGTACAGTACTTCATTTGCTTATTTAAACTGAATTTGAATGTTCTAGTAAAACAAATGTCATCTCACCTGTGTTGTCTTGGAGCTGCTGTCGGACTGTCGGTGTCCTCTCAGGTGTGTGTGAGAGAGAAGCTCAGACTGACACTAGAGCAGTAATCTAGTGACTCACAGTAACCTTCTCCAGCTGATGAACCATCCACACAGTCGCAGCACAGAGGACGTCAACAAAGAGTAAAAGCCTGCCGTCAGACGGTACTCTAGCGCTACAGAAAGCTGATTACAGAAGGATCCAGTAAACACGTGACGTAAGGCTTGCTGGACACAAACACTCTAATCTTTAAGACTTCCACAACAATCTGTGATTACTCTTTTATTATTGTGTGAAGATGCCAGAAACAACTTTAGGTTCTACTGTATGATAAACACACAGAATGAGATTAACACTTTGATCACCAATAAACTGCTTCCTGTCCATCTGTTGAGGACATTCATGACTTGTGATGATTCTGGTGACTTCCTGGTCTAATGAAGGTTCAGTCTGAGACAGTTTCACTGAATCAACATGAAAAAAGATCCAGAAATAGAAACTCATTGGTGGATATTAAATGTATTATTATCAGTCAGTATGACATTTAAAATGAATAAAAACAAACGCAAAGTAAACTTTACAAAAATAAAAAGAAGCGAAGCTGTTAGTTAACTTATTGAGATTATGTATCACTGTGAAGCCTTTTCATGTCATCAAACAACATAAACGCTGTGGACAGAAGGTTGGTTTCTGGGAGAGCTCTGGAGGAACAGACTGATTCAAAGAAATGTGCTTTTTGTTATTGACTCAGTGTTCATCATCTCATTATCCTGATCAAGTTAACAGAGCTGTTTGGAACAAACAACTTCTAAATCCATGATTAACGTTGTGTTCACATGTCTTCCTCTGCTGGTCCTTCCACAGACAGCTGCAGTCTGCAGGTTAGGCTTCATGGAGCTGGATGTGAGGCAGTGGGTGACAGGACGCGCGAGTCCGTCTCACTCCGTGTCAGCGGAGTGCAGAGCGGAGGCCCAGACCTGGTCTGACGGGGCATCTGGCAGGATCCAGCTCTGAGGAACCCGAGAACCGTCAGGATGATCCGCTGGAACCACAAACACATCCCACTGTCTCCTAAAAGAAAACAGAATACAGTCCCAACAAGTTACGATGTCATCCTAAAGGTCACTACAACAACAACATGATGTCACGACTGAACTCCAGCTGCTGATATTAATCATGCTGCTCACTGTTGGTCAGGGCTCCGTCCCAATGCAGCTCAAATGTTCCACAATGACCCAAAGAAACTGAACAAATGCCCGTTTCCATTACTGCTGTGTGAATATGTCGGTGAGTGGAGATCAACAGCTGGAGGAGCCGATTCTGCAGTTGGTGCCATTAAAGCACAAGAAGAAGAAGCAACGAGTCGTGGTCATAAAAACTTCATATATTAATATATCATCTCTCAACACTGATCGGATGTTTGATCACAAGTTTGTATCCACACTCCAACTGTTAGAGCTCAGACAGGAAACACTTTCTGCATGTTTAGACTTTTGTTTTTTATTGAATTTGATCAATAACTTAATACTCTGCATACTGTGTGGCTGTAGTAAGTTACTGTGATCATTTCATTCAGCAAACATCATCTCTATTGTTACATGATTGTTTCCATTTGTTGTGAGCAGATTTAATCCTCATTATCATAACCCTTACATTAATGGCAGCCAAATGTGGTTTCTGCAGAACACTATCGTTACACTTTACGAAACACTGACATGAGGCCGATGAGCGATGCGGTCTGACTGGGAGGAGCTCTCAGTGACTCAGGAGGCTTCTGGACCTCCAGCTTTGTGAATCACACTCTGCAGGAGTCTAAGGTTAGGACTGAGATTATCTTTAGGACGGTCTCTGAACTCTGCCAGTTAGGAGCTACTTCACTGAGGAGGTTCTGTCAGGTTGCAGTTTACATCCATGTCTGTTCAAAATGTCATCACTTCATCATTTTATCCTCTCAGACAAGTGTGAAGTTGTCATAGTGAGCATATGAATTCTTGAATATGTTCTAGGCCACAGTGACCTTTGACCACACATTCTAATCAGTTCAACCGTGAGTCTAAGTGGGCGATTGTGCCAAATTTGAAGAAGTTTTCTGAGATATTGTGTTCCAGAGAATGGGAGTGATGTGATCCAACACCCCGTGTCAGGTCTTCTCGGGTCACATGTCACATCTCAGTGAACAGCTCAACCTGCCGGCTGAACACACGTCAACTTCAACATTGTGCAGACATTGCGCATTTTATGTTAACAGAGCCAGAGAGTCCATTTTATTTATTGTGCGGTTTAATTTGATTTATGTTTTATTTATTTAGGATATTTTAATATTTTTCACATTCCAATTCCAATGTCTGATACACGACAGGTTTTATTAAAGGTCCATAGTTCAGTCATGGTCTGATGTGGTCCAAAGAAAGCTGTATGAGGAATAAAGAAATAAAGAAAATGTGTCTCTAATGATCGCTTATAGGATCAATGTGAGCCAGACAGACGTGATCACTGCACATAACTTTATCCATAATTCATCCTACACATTTCTATATACATGTCTGTATTTCCTGTGGCCCTTTAAGGCCCATAACTCTATTTGATGAACCTTATTATGTGACCGTGAAAGTGAAGTGAAGCTCGAACCTGATTTGTAGTAAAGCGTGCAGCGAGCGCTCAGTCTGGGTGTAATATGCTCTGAAGGGCTGCAGAACACACTCAGCAGGAAGATCCTCTGAGAAACAAACAGGAACAATGAATCACATATTACAATATCATGAAAGACAAGACGTCGGTGGTTCAATCATACTGTTAATGAGTTGTTACCTCCAAACAACATGTCGTTCACTCTGCGTTTCCTCTGCAGGTGTCTCTCCCTCTCCTTCTTCATTCGTTTCTCCTGCTCTCTCCTCCTCTCCTCCTCCTGCTCTCCTTCCAGCATCACCATCAGAGCTTTCTCCTCTGCTGAGTAAACTGCTGTCCTCTTCTTCATCACACACCTTAGCTGCTCCAGTCTGGTGCTGAACGCCTCGTCACATTCTTGCTCAGTGACGATTCCTGACACGCACAGAGATACAAACTGAAGGCTACAGGCTTCATGGGGTCCTGTTACAGGCTTCATGGGGTCCTGTTACAGGCTTCATGGGGTCCTGTTACAGACTGTAGGCTACAGTTTATTACATTTTAACGGTCCAGGTATGAGGGACCCATCATGCAACACCAGCTGCGGTGTATGGACAGTACAGGCAACGGAGTACCCATTTCACCCGTCTGGGAGAGTTAGAAGCCACGGTGTTACGTGCATTGTCGTGACGCATGCAGCCACTTCCCAAGTAAGTCTGCACCGCATGAACTACTTCAGCTGTAGGTTGTCAGCTGTGTGTCTGCATGCCACGCTCTGTCAGGCTTTCTGCTAGTGTGCTGCTAGCCCGGCCTAACGTTAGCGAGTGACACACAAACACGAGAGAGAGAGAGAGAGAGAGAGAGAGAGAGAGAGAGAGAGAGAGAG